TCTCCTCTTTCTCGTCCTGCTCCTCTTCTTCTTAGTCTCCTCCTTCTCCGCTTTAATCTTATCCTCCTCCTCCTACTTGTGTTTTTTTATATCTTCTTCTCCACCTCTTCTTATTTTCCTCCCGTTCTTTCTTACTCTCCTATCTTCCTTCCCCTCTTTCCGTCATTCATTTCCCTTTCTTCCTTCCACCATTCCTTCCTTCATTCCTTTCCTGCCTCCCTTCTTTCCTTCTTCCTTCCTGCTTCCCTTCTTTCCTTCTTTCTTCCTGCCTCCCTTCTTTCCTTCTTCCTTCCTGCCTCCCTTCTTTCCTTCTTCCTTCCTGCCTCCCTCCTTCCTCCTTCCTTCCCTTCTTTCCTTCCTTCCTCCTCCTCCTTCCTTCTTCCTTCCTGCCTCCCTTCTTTCCTTCTTCCTTCCTGCCTCCCTTCTTTCCTTCTTCTTCCTGCCTCCCTCCTTCCTCCTTCATTCCTTTCTTTCCTTCCGTCCTCCTTCCTTCCTTCTTCCTTCCTGCCTCCCTTCTTTCCTTCTTCCTTCCTGCCTCCCTCCTTCCTCCTTCCTTCCCTTCCTTCCTTCCTTCCGTCCTCCTCCTCCTTCCTTCCTCCTGAAAGTCAAGGAGGCGCTGCTTCGTTTCCCTCCGCCACGAGCCCTGGTTTTCACGCACGGACGCCGCTGAGCACCTTTCAGAGGGGTCGACCGAAGGCGTGAAAGGAAATGCTGTTTATGCCGTGCTGTTTGATGCGTTTGTGCCTCTTTGCTGCTGATTTTGTTTGTGTGGCTTTATGGTGTTTGTGTTTATGTTTGTTATTTTATGGGGTTTGTGCTCGTGTTTATGTTTGTTATTTTATGGTGATTTGTGTTTATGTTTATGTTTGTTATTTTATGGGGTTTGTGCTCGTGTTTATGTTTGTTATTTTATGGTGATTTGTGTTTATGTTTATGTTTGTTATTTTATGGTGATTTGTGTTTATGTTTATGTTTGTTATTTTATGGTGATTTGTGTTTATGTTTGTGCTCGTGTTTGTTATTTTATGGTGATTTGTGTTTATGTTTCTGTTTGTTATTCTATGGGGTTTTGTGTTTGTTAATCTAGGGTGTTCTGTATTTGTTATTTTATGGCGTTTGTGATTGCTTTAGTTCATTTTTTTTGGTGTTTGTGTTCTTTTATGTTTAAGACATTCTGAGTTTCTTTTTTTTTCAATGTTGAAGTTATTTAAGGTTGTTCATGTTGATGTTACTTGAAGTCGTTTACATTTTTTTTTCTTAATGTTGAAAGTTATTCAAAGCTGTTCACTTTATGTTACTTTAGGTCGTTTGCGTAAATGTTCACAAGGTGTTTTTTTTTTATACTTAAACTTGGGGAATCGAGAAGCCATCTTCGATTCCGCACACGATTACGTTCTTATCCTTTTCGGTTTATGTTTTGCATATTAAGGACTTGCGAAAGCTCATGCTGCGTAAGTAAGTCTGTACGTAAGGCAGAGCGATGAATTTACAAGTATGTATGCAAATGGAGATGGTTGGAGGTGTGTGTTAAAACGATCCTCGTCGTTGTGTGACCATATAGGTTCTGCCTGTCTGTTTGTCTGTCTGTCTCTTTCTCTATTTGTCTGTCTGTCTGTCTCTTTCTCTATTTGTCTGTCTGTCTGTCTCTTTCTCTATTTGTCTGTCTGTCTGTCTGTCTGTCTCTTTCTTTCTTTCTTTGTCTGTCTGTCTCCCTTTCTATTCTTGCCCTGTTTTTCTTTCACCACCCCCCCCCATTCCCTCTCTTTATTCCTCCTCTCCATTCTCTTCTGCCACATCCAACTCTATCCCTCCCCCACTCCTCCTCCTCCCCCATCTCCCATCCTCCTCCTTCCCCCCTACCTCCCCCCCTCTCCTTCCTCCTCTTACCCCATCCTCCCCATCCCTTCCCCCATCCTCCCCATCACCCCCCCCCCTCTCCGTGCCTCGACATTACCATGCCTCATGTCTTTATGGTTATGTCATTTTTATGGTAATTGTATGGAAGATTACCCGAGCATTTCTGGTTTATGTGTCGGCAGTCGTTAATGGCGCCATGCCGTGTGTTGTGAATATATACATACATATATATAAATGTATAAATATGTATCCTGCACTTGGGACGTCCTCTTTTCTCTCCTCTCTGTTTCCTGGTCCTTCTTCTTCTTCTTCTTCTTCTTCTTTTGCTTTTCATTTTTCTCTCCTCTTCGTTTTCTTCTTTTTCTACTTCTATTATCTACTCTTTTTCTTCTTCTTCTTTTTGTCTTTCTTCATCCTTTTCTTAATACTATTATCTTCGTTTTTTTTTCTTTTGTTTCTCTCTCTTTTTCGTCTGCTTCTTGTTCTTTCCTCTTCATTCTTCTTCGAAAGCGACGCACTGCAGTGTGATAGTACGCCCCTCCCCTCCCCTCCTCTATCTTCCCCCTCCCCCCCTTCCTTCCCTCAATTTCCTCTCCTCTTTCCCCTCGCTGTCAACCTCCGCCCCTCCTCCCCCTCTCCCCCACCTCCCTTCCCTCAGTTCCTCTCCTCTCCCCTTCCCCCACCTCCCTCTCCCCCACCTCCCTTCCCCCAGTTTCCTCTCCTCTTTCCCTTCGCTGTCAACCCCCTCCCTCCCCCCCCTCTCCCCACCTCCCTTCCCCCAGTTTCCTCTCCTCTTTCCCTTCGCTGTCAACCCCCCTCCCTCCCCCCCCTCCCCCACCTCCCTTCCCCCAGTTTCCTCTCCTCTTTCCCCTCGCTGTCAACCTCCGCCCTTCCCCCCCCCTCCCCACCTCCCTTACCCCAGTTTCCTCTCCTCATTCCCCTCGCTGTCAACCTCCATCCCCCCTCCCCCCCCCTCCCCCCTTCCACTTGACACGCTGAGCGGTTGTGAAAAACGGGCCGACCGAGGTGTCTTAACGACCTTTAATGTTAATCTAACGACCTTTGCTGCGAATGTTATTATCAGATTATCAGGCGCAGAGATGTAATTACTATTAATTCACCTAATCGATTAGTCTCGCCCCCTTCTTCCCCTCCCCTCCCTCCCTCCCTCTTCCCCTCCCCTCCCTCCCTCTTCCCCTCCCTTCCTCCCTCTTCCCTCTCCTCCCTCCCTCTTCCCTCCCCTTCCTCCCTCTTCCCTCCCTCTTCCCTCCCCTCCCTCCCTCTTCCCTTCCCCTCCCTCCCTCTTCCCTCCCCTCCCTCCCTCTTCTCCTCCCCTCCCTCCCTCTTCCCTCCCCTCCCTCCCTCTTCCCCTCCCTTCCCTCCCTCTTCTTCTCCCCTCCCCCATTCCCCTCATTATTCCTTTTCCCTCTTCCCCCTCCTTCCAGTTTTTCCTTCCTCTGTCCTTGTCAAAATACACACAGGGTGGGAGGGAAGGAGGGAGGGTAAGAGGGAGGGAAGGAGGGAAGGAGGGAGGGAGGAAGGGCGAGAGGGAGGGAGGGAGGGAGGGAGGGCGAGAGGGAGGGAGGGTGAGAGGGAGGGAGAGAGTGAGGGAGTGAGGGAGGGAGGGAAGGAGGGAGGGTGAGAGTGATGGAAGGAGGGAAAGAAAGGAAGGGAAGGTGGGAGGGACCGAAGGAAGGAGGGAAGGACCGAGGGAAGGAAGGGGAGACAGGATAAGGGACACGAAAAGGTTGAATTGAAGGGTTGCGAAAGGAAAGGGGGGGGGGGGAGAACGCGTGGGGGGTGAGAAGAGAACTAAATTAAGGAATGTGCGCTTAGCGTTGGTAAGAAAGGGAGTGGAGGGGAACAGACTGAGGGGAGGAAGGGAGGAGGAAGAACAGAGGGGAAGGAAACGGGGAAAAAAAAAGAGGAAGTGAGGCAGACGAACAAGGAATATGAGAGACAGAAAGTCGCGGGCGTGGGCGAGGGTAATACAGAGAGCGGGGAAGGGTGAAAGAAAAAAAAAAGAAAAGAAAAAAAAAGAAAAGAAAAAAAAAGGGGGGGACGGGGGCGTGGGGGGGGGGGCAGACCGAAATGAGGCAGGAGGATGGATGAGGGAGGAAATGAGCTCGGGGACGGAGACATGACGGCGGAGAAGAAGGAGTATGAAGTTGATGAAGTGAGGGCGAGGATGTCACCACCGCAGAATATGACGTGACATGGCATGACGTGACGTGACGTGACGGTGCGCGAAGGTTGAAGAGAGAAAGAGAGAGAAGAAGAAGAGGCAGAGGGATAAGAAAGGAGGAAGAGACGGGGAAGAAGGAGAAGAGGCAGAAAAGGAAAGAGAATGCGAAGGAGAAGGAAAAACAAGGAGAGAGAGAGAGAGAGAGAGAGAGAGAGAGAGAGAGAGAGAGAGAGAGAGAGAGAGAGAGAGAGAGAGAGAGAGAGAGAGAGAGAGAGAGAATGACTGACAAATGAAGGACAAGCACCGACAATGCTGTTGATGAAATATTTCCCCCAAATTAATTAAAAGTACGGACAAAAAGTGAAGTAAAATGTGTGGTTGACAGATGTCATAAACTGACCGAAAAATGTGGTGATTAAAAGTGCCAAATAACGATGACAAATGCTGTTGCATTTTGGATGATAAGAGATACAGAAAATAGAGATCATAATCAAAACAACAATAAACACAAATGATACCATACAACAGATGTGCATTTGAGAAGAATGAAAGAGTTATGCATATATATATATGACAAAACACATCTATGAATAACAAAGTACTTACATTTCTAAAATTTGAGCGTTGAAATACAGCCTCTAGGATGGGGCTTTTTTTTTGCATTTACGAAAAGTGAAAATTTTCCTATCCACTTCAAAACAAAATTAAAAAAAAGGAAAAAAATAATAATATCTAGCTGTACCTACCTAAAACACCTACATAACATCAATAAAAATGGGACCATTAAATATACACACACACATATATATATATAAATTCAAAAAAGCCACTTGAAATCTACTTGAAATTACATTAATTAGATACAAATCATATGAATACAAAAGCATTGACATTCCCTAAGCATTAAGACGGCAGTAATTATATTATACAATTCTACCCTTCCTTTACCCCGCCCTCCCCCCTCCCCTCCTCTCTCTCTCTCTCTCTCTCCTACGTCATTCTGCCTTCCCTTTCTTTCTCTTCTTCATCTTTCTTCTTCTCCTTTTTTTCATTACTATCCATCCTATCACCTATTCTCAAAGAAGAAGAAGAAAGTGCATCCTGCAACCTACCTGCATTTTCTCTGCCCTAAAACACCTACACAAACATATATAACTCTATAAATAATCATAACTTCAATAATAATAAACATAAATAACAATAACAACAATAATAACCATAACAATAATAACAATATCAATAATAACAATAACAATAACAATAATAATAATAATAACAATGTCAATAATAATAATAACAATAATAATAATAATAATGATAATATTGCATAATGAAAATACAGCTTTCTGCCGTCTCTTTCTCTTAACGGCAGAACATCCAACGACGGCGAGATACTAACCAAAATTCGGGGTAACTCGTTTCTCTGCTGCTGCAAGGCAATAGAACACATATCTATATAACCCTTCCGTGTCATGACTCGGTCCACATAGAACAAAGATATATACATTTGTTTGAATTGTTTTTTGGTTTTTTTTTCTTCTAAAGTTTCTATCTCTTTTTTTTTTTAGGGGGGTCTAAGCTATAAATTCTTTTGGGTCCTGTTTTACTTTGTTTGGTCAAATCATAATGATCATTTAGTAAAGCCATAGCTATATGTAGTTCAGAAGTCTTTTTTTTTTTAATCTTATTTATCTATTTTTTTATAAGTCCCTATCTTCACAAGCTTTACTTTTTTTTTTTTTTTTCCTCAGACGACTAAGTCACCCCGTCCGTGACCGGCTCAGAATTCCCAAAACTTCACAACTTCAGGAGGCAAAGCATTCGTGATCTTTATCTTATATATAATAAAAAAATATCCTTTCTTTCACTCTTATAATCTCGCTACTGATCTCTTTTATCATCTCCAGGTACATCAGCCTAGAGACGTGTGTGTATATATATGTATGAGTCACACAGCTCCATGACAATATATACATATATAGTCATGTACATATATATCAAGTAAAGTATTGGTTAGCCAATGACTCGTGAATAAAACTAAGAAGAAAAAAACCGTTCCATGAAGTTTGGTATATTCTCTGGCCCTTTCCTTGTTTCCTGATTCTCCTGATCTTGAAATCGACATCAATATTATGAGATATAATGCTATCATCCTTATCTGATATGCTACTCTCAACCTTAATAGATAATCATTTACTATCAGCTAGAATACATATTCATTTTTTTTTTTTTAAAGATACATAAAGAAGGAGAGACAGAAAAAAGCAAGATAATCAACAAACACTTCACTCTTGAAAAAAAACGTACATAAATATACAAGTTATATACACAACAATTCCTATGTTGGTCGGAACTGTATAATTTTTTAAATCTAAAAAAAAACAAAAAAAACATCAATCTCCCTCTCTCTTTCATATCTTTCTCTCTTTATCTATCTCTTTCAAACACTATTTACTATATCTATGAGCAGTTTATTCAAATGTTATAATAAACTCAGTTATTCATATCAACCATTCACTCACTCACAGGCCTCTCTACCCCCCCCTCTCTCTCTCTCTCTCTCTCTCTCTCTCTCTCTCTCTCTCTCTCTCTCTCTCTCTCTCTCTCTCTCTCTCTCTCTCTCCCTTCCCCCTACACCCGTATTCTTTCTCTCTGCCTCCCCTTTACCCTCACCATCACTACCTCCTCCTTCCCCCTCACCCACTCATTCATTCTTCCTTGCTTATTCTCCCTCTCGTTCATCCTTTTCTAATCACTCTCTCAACCATTCATGGTGTCTTAATTCATCCATTTATTCACACACACATACACAAACACACACACACACACACACACACACACACACACACACACACACACACACACACACACACTCTCTCTCTCTCTCTCTCTCTCTCTCTCTCTTCTCCCTCCCTCCCTCCTTTTCACCACACACGAAAAAGCTGAACACTATCTGGAAGAACTTCTGCCCAACAAACCACAGCAACAGAGCCGACTCCTCCCTTTGAAGACCACACTTTCTGGATGTAATGAACACTCGAGTCTAGTGTGACCTGAGCAACGCCTACCGACCGTAAATAACCGAGAGAGAGAGAGAGGCGAGATTTTGTGTTTATTTCTTTATTTGAAGGGAATCATTTAGAAAAAGAAAGTGTGGGTGTGTTTCGAAGGGTCTATGGCAAGCTGCTTCGTTTGTGGTCGTTTTGTTTGTTTGTTTGTCTATCTGTCAATGGATTCTCTCTCTCTCTCTCTCTCTCTCTCTCTGACATACAGAACTGTCGAGACCTAATTCTATGCATAGGCCTATATTCCGAGACATCAACAAGCATGGATGGGACTCAAACCTAAGCCTCCTATTCCAAACCTAACTTAACACTGGAAGAGGAAAATGATATCTACACCGACTCGACCCTTCGACTTGCTCTCTCTTTCTCTCTCTTTCTTCATTTGTCTTTCCTTCTCTCGTCCTTTACTTCTATCCTTCTTATCTCTTTCTCTTACTCACTCATCCACATATTTGCCATCTACCCACACCTTGTCTACCCTAATTCATCCATTCACACTCACTCATTCACTCACACACACACGCACACACCTTTTTCACCCCCCCCCTCCACCCACACCTCATCCACCCCACCCACACACCTACCCTCCCTACACCTCAGCCCCACACACCCACACTCCTCCCTCCATACCTCTTCCATACACTTCCCCACCTCCACACACACCCCCACCCCACACACACACGTCTTCCACACTCCCCCCCCTCCCCCGACACCCCACCCACACCCACACACCTCATCCAACCCCCCCCACCCACCCCACACACCCCCACACCTCTCTCTCTCTCTCTCACACACAACTTACCCCGATAATGGCGTTCAGTTCTGTCATGGTGACCTGCTTGGCTCTCTCGATGGCCGCGGCAACCTGTTGTTGGTGCTGCCCGTAAGGAGGCGGAGACCAGAAGGAGGCGGGGGGGGCGGGGGGCGGAGGGGTGTGGCGGTGGTGGTGGTGGTGGTGGGGGGAGGGGGGGGAGGAGGGGAAGGGAGAATGAATTAATTAGGATTCGAATGATCACATGTTCGTTCTGTTTGTTTGTTTGTTTAATCTTTTTTTTTTTATTTATTTATTTATATTTTTTTTCTTTTTTCTCCTGTTATGTTTATTTACCTATGAATCACTTACTTGCCTGTTTATTAATTTTCCTTGTATTATAGTTTCTTCCTATATCTAATCACTATCATCACCATCATTATGATTATAATTATCATTATTATTATTATTAGCATCATATTACTCACTATCTTAATTATAGTTATTATAGTTATTATTACCATTATTATTATTATTATTATTATTTAGCTATCTAACATTTCTTTAAAAAAATAAAATATAACAAAAAATTCAAAAAACCCAGTACACAAATAAATGCAAAATAAAGGAATCAACAGTTCAGACACACACACAGTTATCTTCACAGTCATCACTATATTCATCAATACGGTTATTCATCACAGTCATCACTAGTCATTAACACGGTTATCATCACTCTCATCACTAAATACGGTTATTCATCACAGTCATAACTAGTCATCAACACGCTTATCCATCACAGTCATCAACACGGTTATACAGCACAGTCATCAACACTTATTCATCACACTCCCCACTAAAGTCATCAAACCTTATCACCCGCACTCGTCACTAAAATCATCAGCGCATTTATCCTCAAAGTCAACCACCATAGTCTTCAACACAGTCATTATAAGTCATCCTCAGTCATCACCGCAGACTATACTCCAATTAACACGTATCGGTTCTACATTTACGATTACTTAGTTTTATCGTTATCATTACCACTATAATTACTTTCTTAACAATAACTTGACAACATGCTTTATAATTGCAATCAACTTCATTATCATCATTATGTTTATAACTACAATCGCCATTCTTATTATAGTTGCGACCATCATTATCTACCTTAATTATCGTAAAAACATTACCATCGCTAATATTATCTTTATTACCATTATCATTACTACTATTACTATTATTATTATCATCATTATTATTGCGATTATTATCATTACTGTTACTATTGCTATCATCATCATCATCATCATCATTATTATTATTATCATTATCATCATGACCTTTATGATTATCATTATCATCATGGCCTTTATGATTATCATTATCATTATTATTATAAATGTTACCCACAATACCATAAATATAAAACCATTACTACTAGCAATAGCAACTTCAATAACGCTTCCATTAAGCACGCTGAATAAATAACAAGGCGCTTAGCCAAAAAACCTCAACATACACTCAACAAAATACTCGTAACAATTTGCATAAAAAAACCCGAGACGCGAATAATAAATAACAAAAAAAAAAAGAAATAAAAAAAACGCGAAACTAAATAATATATTGAGATATCACATTAAACAGACGAAGTGTCCGTTAATTTTGGCGTTTTAACGAGGTCGCCGATAGATGGAGAAAGGATTACAAATTGACATGCTTTTCACGTTTGTACTTTTTTTTTTCTTTTTTTTTGGGGGGGGGCGTGTCTTTGGCTCTCAGTTCGGAGCGAGGTTGTCTATCTGTTCTCTCTATTTCCTTTTCTTTTCTTTCTTTTTTCTTTCTCTTTCTCTCTCTCTCAAACACACACACACACACACACAAAGCCCACAGCAAGCTCCTCAACACACACACACAGCAAACCCCCTTCCCCCCTCCCCACACACAGACACAGACAAAGGGGGTTGAAGGGGGGGGGGGGAGGCCACGAGAGCCAACGAAGGGCGCGGCCACAGGAGAGTAAAATCTGAGCGCAAACATGGCCACGCGACAGAGGTCAGGGCGGGCCACTTTACAAGCCGGTCGTAATATTAACATTTGGATACACGTGGACTGGGTCGGTCGGTTAGTCTCTTCTCCTCCTCCTCCTCCTCCTCCTCCTCCTCCTCCTCCTCCTCCTCCTCCTCCTCCTCCTCTTCTTCCTTTTCTTCGTCTTCTTTTTCTTCGTCTTCTTCTTCTTCTTGTCTTCTTTTTCTTCTTGTTCGAAGTCTTCGTCTTCGTCTTCTCCTTCTCCGTCTCTTTTTCTCTTTCCTTTTCCTTTTTTTTTAAGTGTACGTATTTCATAAGGCATTTCGTACGACACGCATTGTACGATTTTTTTTAGAGCTCTAACTCCCTCCCTTCTTAAAAAAAAAAAAAAAAAAAAAAAAAAAAAAAAGAGGGTTAAATTCCACGTGCTGAATGTGTAATAAAAATGGACCATTACAGCAAATATGAAGAGCAGGGGGGGGGGGGGAGAAGGGAGGAGAGGGGGAGGGAGAGAGAGGGGGAGAGGGGGAGGGGAGGGGGAGGGGGAGATCTCTCATTTCACACCCTCGATGTATTTCAATATATAATTATATAACCACACCAACCCCTCAACAGCGAAGGGGTGGAGCGAGGGTGCGAATAAGAAAACCTTTAACAATGCCGTCCGGATTGAGCCATAAAACCCCGCCACGTTTTCCCGCCAAAATAACAAAAGACGCACGCGAGGCGCACCGTTTGGTTGCTCGAAGAGGGAGGGGGAGAGAGAGGGAGGGGAGAGAGAGGGAGAGGGAGAGGGAGAGGGAGAGGGAGAGGGGGTAGTAGGGAGGGAGAGAGAGGGGGAGAGGGAGGGAGGAGAGAGGGGGGGGTAGTAGTGAGAGAGAGAGAGAAGGGAAGAGGAGGGAGGGAGGGAGAGAGGAGAGTAGCAGGTGAGGGATAGGGGAGAAGGCAGGAGGAGGAGGAGGAGGTAATTTCGTGAATATTTCAACAAGTTCGGCCATTTTGCTCGTAACCCGAAACCGCACGCCATCTGTCAATCGCCCATTCACGAAGTAACTAACAATAGAGGAAAGATCACTCGACCGTTCCAAATGATGTCGTTTGTCCGGCGCCCCAGTTTGCCTTTTTGTCTTCTCTTCTCGAATATTTCCTTTAAAAGTGTTTTTTGATCCCTAGATTAGGTTTTCAATCCGAGGGTTAATAAAAGAGCGAGTGGGGAGAGAGGGAGAGGGAGGGAGAGAGGGAGGGAGGGAGAGAGGGAGAGGGAGGGAGGGTGGGCGGGGGAGAGAGGGCGGGGGAGAGAGAGAGAGAGAGAGAGAGAGAGAGAGAGAGAGAGAGAGAGAGAGAGAGAGAGAGAGAGAGAGAGAGAGAGAGAGAGAGAGAGAATAAGAAAGCGAGAAAGAGAATAAGAAAGCGAGAGAGAGAATAAGAAAGCGAGAGAGAGAATAAGAAAGCGAGAAAGAGATAATAAGAAAGCGAGAAAGAAAGAAACAGAGAAAGAGAAAGATAAGAGACAAAGACCCGAAGACCCGAAGAGACAAACCAAAGACAGTAAGTAAGTAAGAAAAAAAAAAAAAAAAAAAAAAAAAAGACACAAAAGAGAGAAAAAAACGACACGAGGCATCCCCAGCACCTCTCCCAACCCCTGTCGTACGCACAACGTCGTTCGCATAAACCAAAGTTATCGTAACAATGCTTATCGCCGCCTTTACTCCTAAAAAAGAGAGTACAAACTAACTGCCAAAACCCATTCCACGACACGCGAACGACCGACGACCACAGCGGGGGCGGGGAGGGGGAGGGGGAGGGGGGAGAAGGGAGTGAGAGGGACAGGAAAGGAGGGGGGTGGTGGGAGAGGGAGGGATGAGGGGGAGGAGAGGAGAGGAGAGGAGAGAATGGAGAGAGAGGGGGGAGAGGGAGAGGGAGAGGGAGAGGGAGAGAGAGAGAGAGAGAGAGAGAGAGAGAGAGAGAGAGAGAGAGAGAGAGAGAGAGAGAGAGAGAGAGAAAGGAAGGAAAAGAAAGAGGAAGAGGAATAAAAAAGATAAAATAGAGAGACAGAAAGACAAACAAACAAAACAAAACAAAAAAAATCTTAACACGAGCGACCCAACCGCCAAGACCCGGTATTCCACCGTTAAAAGGTGGGCAATTTGCATACATACACCAGACACCGTTAGCGCACGCACCTCGCCCTCCAGAGTTCCGCGTGATTCATGGCCCTTAGAAGAGCCCCCCCCCCCCCCCCCCCGACGACCCTCTTCCTACGAGCCAATAAAACTGTCAAATATCCTGTTGTGTCGTTCGGGAGATGCCTCGGCTTCCCTTGTCCTCGTCTTCTCGTTTTCTATTCGTTTTGTTGGCTTACTGAGCTCTCGTTTTCTTTTTTTTTGTAGTCTTCGGTTTGTTTGTCTTCTGTTTGTTTGTTTGTTTGTTGTGTGGGTGGGTCGGTGTTTCTCTCTTTTTCTCTTTCTCTCGCTATCGTTATCTTCTCTCTTCTCTTCTCTTCTTTCTTTTCTCTTCTTCTCTTCTCTTCTCTCCTATCTTCTTCTCTTCTCTCCTCTTCTTTTCTCTCCTCTCCTCTCTCTCTCTCTCTCTCTCTCTCTCTCTACACACACACACACACACACACACACACACACACACACACACACACACACACACACACACACACACACACACACACACACACACACACACATTCCTCTTATGTCAACCTCCTCCCCCCCCCCCCTTCCCTTTTTCACACACATAAAATACCGATAAAAAAACATATTACAATAAAATAGAATAAAACGAATAAGGAATACACAAGAACACTATGCGGCCAATTGCACACAAAAGAAAACTTCAACAACAATTTTGCAACGTAAATACAACGCGGCGATATACATGCTTAGCTACGTCAGAATGCCGCGGACAAAACCAATATTTTCGTCTTCATTACACGCTAACGCCGAACTAAAATGACACGAGCATTTTATTTGCAAAACACGAATCCCACATATAAAAAAAGAAAAAAAAAATATATATATATATGTGTATATATATAGCATACATAGAGCTCTTTGTGAACGAGAGTATAGCGTATCAATCAGTAAAAAGTATGAACATTTATACTGTGAAAGATTATGGGGACACGCACATATATACATATACATATACATAAACACACGCACACACACACACAGACACACACTCTCTCTCTCTCTCTCTCTCTCTCTCTCTCTCTCTCTCTCTCTCTCTCTCTCTCTCTCTCTCTCTCTCTCTCTCTCTCTCTCTCTCTCTCTCTCTCTCACACACACACACACATACACACACACACACCACACACACACTCTCTCTCTCTCTCTCTCTCTCTCTCTCTCTCTCTCTCTCTCTCTCTCTCTCTCTCTCTCTCTCTCACACACACACACACACACACACACACACACACACACACACACACACACACACCATGTCAAATATTTAGATGCAAAATTCAAGGTCTTTCGCTGTGGCAAACACACTCACAATAATATTTTGTTACTCCACCTAGTAACGCTCAACGAAAATGACTGTCAAATACACACATGTCCACATACATACATACATACATACATACACACATACACATTAAGTATACATTACATACATACACACAAACACTCACAAAACCAAACCAAATCGATATTTCATAAAATTCCCCTCCCCTCCCCCCTTTCGAGAAAAAAAACTACAAAAAAAAAAACACCAAAAAAAGTTACACAAAAACAAGAGAACAACACACTCACCTCTTGGGATAAGAAGGGCATGATCTGAGCTAGTATTGCATTCAATCGCTTTGCAATTTCAGTCTGGAAAAGAAAAGAGAAAAAACATTATAACAATTATTATATTTTTTCTTTAATGGAGGGATAAAAATAAATAACAAATAACGACCGATAAAACACTTTATGTTAAATATAACAAAGGAAGAAAAAGCGAGAAGGAAAGATGAGGAAGAAATAAAGAAGAAAAGGAGATAGAGAAAGGGGAGGAGAAAGAAGAGGGAAGAAGTAGCAGAATGGGAGAATGAGGGAGAAGAAGAATGGGGGAAGACAGAGGGGGAGGGAAAGGCAAACAGGATAGAAACAGACACACAAAGAAACAGAGAAATAAAGAGAGAGGCACAGACAGACAGACAAAAAGACAGAGAGAGAGAGAGTGAGAGTGAGAGAGAGAGAGAGAAAGAGAGAGAGAGAGAGAGAGAGAGAGAGAGAGAGAGAGAGAGAGAGAGAGAGAGAGAGAGAGAGAGAGAGAGAGAGAGAGAGAGAGAGAGAGAGAGAGAGAGAGAGAGAGAGAGAGAGAGAGAGAGAGAGAGAGAGAGAGAGAGAGAGAGAGAGAGAGAGAGAGAGCGAGCGAGCCTGAAAGAAAGAAAGAAAGTAGACGACCGCGAAAGAAAGAGAAAGAGAAAGTGAAAGAGAGAGAAAAGCGAGAAAGAAAGAAAGAGAGAGAGAGAGAGAGAGAGAGAGAGAGAGAGAGAGAGAGAGAGAGAGAGAGAGAGAGAGAGAGAGAGAGAGAGAGAGAGAGATAAAGCAAGCGAGCGAGCCTGAAAGAAAGAAAGAAAGTAGACGACCGCGAAAGAAAAGAGAAAGAGAAAGAGAGAGAGAAAGCGAAAGCGAGAAAGAGAAAGAGAGAAAGACAATACGTTCCCGCGGCCGTAACTCACAGGTCCCGAAAGTGGGTGTGAAGTGAAGAGGGGCTTTTCCACTTGTAATCACACCCCTCCCCCCCTTCCTCTATAATCCACCCCCGCCCACACACACGCGTAAAGAAAGGAGGCAAAAAAAAAAAAAAAAAAAAAAAAAAAAAAAAAAAAAAAAAAAAAAAAAAAAAGGCATTCTCTATTTCCATTTTAAAAAGATATATATATGAAGGGGAGAATAACAAAAGAAAAAAAAGTAAAAAAAAAAAAAAATAAAAAATAATAATGCCACTTATCACGACAGCAAAATGACATGCTTTGAAACCAAAAAGTTGATATCATGAGGAATCTGCCGTCATGTTCCTGGAAATAATACTTAATGGCCGAGAGACATGCAACCTGCCCTCCACCCCCCCTCCTCCCCCTCTGCTCCCCCCTCTCCTACTCCTCCTCTTCCCCCATCCCCTTCCATCACCTCCTTCCCTCCCCCCCTCCTCTTCCCCTCACTCACCTCCCCCCTCCCCCCACACCCCCACTCTTCCATTCCACGCGACCCTTCAGCTGAAAAACGCGCTTTTGTGGAGAACAACTGAAGCTGGAAGGTCTATTTTCGGTTAAATAATAAATGAAAGTGATGATGGTGATGATGGTGATGGTGATGATAATGATGGTGGTGAAGATGATGGCAGTTGTGATGGTCATAATAATAGAGATGGTGGTAGTGATAGTGAAAGCGATAGTGATGGAGTGATAGTGATTGTGAAGGGGATGGTGATAGTGAAGACAGTGATGATGATGATGACGATAACAGAAATAACAGGAAAGACACACCAAAAAACCCTCCGTTACTTTACTTCACCGCAGGAGGGAGAAAGGAGAAAGGAGAAAGTGGAATAGAGAAGAGAAGAGAAGGAACAAGAAGACGAAGGAAGGAGGGGGGGGGGGGGTAGTGTGGTGAGGGGCTGTTGATGGATGTTGGGGGTGGGGGGGGGGTGGGGGTCACGAGTCAAGACGAGGGGGAGGGGGGGGTGGGGGTGTCACGAGTCAAGACGGGGGCAGTCCGTGTGAGTAAATGTTTACTGAAGCTCGTCGTTTGAGCAAACAACCCGGGACATAATAATAATAATAATAATAATAATAATAATAATAATAATGCAGTGCGCGTATTAATATATTTCTCTGGGGAATGCACTTTTGCAAATATGTTTTTCTTTGTTATAACCATCATTATTATTATAACCATCATTATTATTATAACCACCATTATTATTATTACTATCATAATTATTATTATTACTAATATTATCATCATTATCACTATCACTTTCATTATTTCATTATCGTTATCATAATTACCACCATCATTATCATCATGATTATTAGTAGTAGCAGCTTTATAATCATTATTACTTCATCTATCTCTCCGTCGCATCCTATTACGAAATACTTTCACATCCCCGTGAAACACAACAACGACCTTTTTTACGGCCACTGTTTATGAAAAGTCAAAAAGCCTTTTTGGAGAAAAAAATATATATATTTATTTATATAAATCTAAAAAATCCCTTTTACCTTTTCACCCCTTCTCCTCCCCCCTCCCTCTCCCCCTCCCCCCCCCCTTCATTCAATTCCAAAACATAACAACTGAAGTTTTAATGCCAGAAACTGGACCAGCGCATTCATCAAACGTTATTTTTTTTCGGAACAATTGTTTATGTATAAAAAAAAAAAAAAAAAAATGTGTATATATATATATATATATTTTGTGAAGGAAAAAATGAGGTTCTGACTCTGACTCTGACTCTCTCTCTCTCTGACACTCTCTCTCTCTCTCTCTCTCTCTCTCTCTCTCTCTCTCTCTCTCTCTCTCTCTCTCTCTCTCTCTCTCTCTCTCTCTCTCTCTCTTTTCTTGTATTTCAACAGTTTTATCAATTCTACGAACATGTGCACCACGACCTCTTTCACCGTTTCTGTGTGTGTGTATGTGTGAATGTGTATATATGTGTGTGTGTGTGTGTGTGTGTGTGTGTGTGTGTGTGTGTGTGTGTGTGTGTGTGTGTGTGTGTGTGTGTGTGTGTGTGTGTGTGTGTGTGTGTGTGTGTGCGCCCGTGTCAGCAAGCGCGAGCAAAAGAACTTTTTCCAGCGTACACGGGTGCACATGACCGTGCAAATTACACCCAGCTTCTGCCTTGTGAACACGACAGCGCACCAACCGCGGTGGGCGTGGCCAGGGAAGCGTGGGGGCCGTGGGCGTGTCCGCCAGACGTCCGGGTCCGGGTGGGCGTGACGCGAGGGGCGGGGCCAAGGACCACAGTGTTTACCCACGCCGCGAAGCCCTGTGGTTACTCCCCTCCACCTCTTCCACTCCCCTAATCCCCCCCTTCCCTCCCTCCCCCCCCTCCCCTGTACCTGACAATCACCCACCAATCCCTATCATTACCCTCGGCCCATCATCACCGCCAGGCGACCGCACCTATCATCACCACCTGAGCCTCATCACCTCCGTCATCATCTACGCTTGGTCGCGCCCGTCCGCCCGCAGCCACCCTCTCCCCCCCCCCACACTCTCCCGCCCGCCCGCCCGCCCGCACCCTCGGGATAAAGCCTCCTTCGGCCGGGGAAGTCCTGCGCGCCCACTCCCGCCCGCCGCCCGTGCTAGCTCCCTTTCTCCGGGGCTGTCTGTATACTTGGTTGTTTGTCCTTTCAAACTTCCTTTGTTTTTTCTGTATGTCTGTGTGTATATCTCTGTCTGTCTGCCTCTGTCTTTCTGTATGTCTGGGTGTATATCTCTGTCTGTCTGCCTCTGTCTTTCTGTATGTCTGGGTGTATATCTCTGTCTGTCTGCCTCTGTCTTTCTGTATGTCTGTGTGTATATCTCTGTCTGTCTGCCTCTGTCTTTCTGTATGTCTGGGTGTATATCTCTGTCTGTCTGCCTCTCTCTGTCTGTCTGTCTG